AAAAATTTTTTATAATAACTCAAATCAAAATATTTTTCAAAAACGAATAATTTTGGTATCATTCGATGAGACAAATCAGATGATACTAAAATTGTTCAATTTTGATAAATATATCACGGGCTATGAACAAAACATTTTAACTTCGTCATAACACCCCTTCTCCCTTACATATAGTTTTAAATTTATTTCTTTATAGAGTTTGTATATGAGTGCTGCAGAGCAAAAACCTGTAACTGATCATAGTAAATCATTATGGTCAGTTACAGGTTTTCGCTCTGCAGCACACATATGTAATAAAATATATTTATTAAGGCCACACGATTTTAATTTATTGGTTTTCGTAACATGAAACTTTTAAAATAAACCCGGCCGGCCGGCCGGTTTTTTTTTTTTAATTTCATATACAACAATTTTTAAAAAATTTTTTTAAAGGCTCACTCGGTTATTAAAACATAAAAAATTTTTGAAATTTGACCCGGCCAGGTAAGAGAACTAATTAATTAACTTTGCACGGCCTAATTTATTTATTAGTAAGGAATGATCATTATTAAATTTTATTAATACAAAATAATCATTATGAAATTTTATTAATACAAATTTAATTGTCAGCAAAGCGATAGGTTACATGCTAGTAGATAAATAAAAAAAATCGCGAAAAATATATTTACTGGGAATGATCTGCAGCTCCGGGATTTTCTTGACATAAGTGTACTCCCGTCCAATCACTTTTTTTCGCATAAGGTTTCAGTTTTGTTTTTTCAATTTCATCGAGAATTTCATCATTCATCTTGGACCACCAAGTAGTTGGTGGTTCATATTTAGGAAATGTAACAAGAGCAGGAGTCCATATTTCAGTTGCTTCTCTTTCAGCGTTTTGCAACTCTCTAGCTCTTTTTTCTTCTTCAAGCATCTGATCTGATGCCATTTTAGCAAATGCAGCTTCCTCTTCTGCAACTTCAGCCAAAATATCAGCATCTGAGTCATCCAATCGGTCTTGTTGTTCTGATATTTTAAAAGATTCAAAAGTGGATTTTCCCTTTTTTTTGACACGGTTACCTTTTTTCATTGTGGATTTTAAACATTCATCTTCATCCTCTAATTCATCACCGTTAGACTCAAATTTTCGTTTTTCTATTTTTTGAACATCGTCAATCATTATTTTTTTTGCTGCAAGCTCCTTAGCAAATATTTGTTTAGACTTATTTACTTCCAATATACAATTTTTTTTCCATGCAAGATAAGCTTTCCTATTAATTTGAATATGTTTTTTTATTTCTTTGTGCCAATTACTAAATTGCCAATCACCCATCAATTTTGTTTCAAATTGCTCTTTTTCTGCAATGGCTTCGTTTATGTGTTGATCAGAAAATTCAGGATAATTTGCAATGAGTCTTGGAATGAATGTTTCGGATGGTTGTTGAGGAATTTTTTGGTCATTCTTCAAAATTGCCTCAATATTATTTTCAGGATCTGGTGTATTAAACTTTCGAATTATATTAAAAAATCTTGCAGGTTTTTTATTAGATATGACTAAATCATCGTTATCTTTTTGACTTGGTAATAATATTTCAAATTCTTGGGTCGATTTTACTGGCAATTCTTGAATATTGTATTCTAAAGTTGTAGTCCCTTTCTTTTTATTTATTTGAACTGACTTTTCGAATTTTGCAACTTTATTTGGAAGTTTTGGTGAACCTTTTGGAAAAGTTAGTGTCTTGCCAACAAGATCTTCTTTGGAAATGTTTGGTGGAAGTTTGAATAACCATATCTCATTTTCGTCGTCCTTAATGTTATCAATGTCAAATTTTAATTTTTTTTGATTTAAATTTTTGTTTTTTTTCCAACCTTTAGGTGGTATGTATTGTGGAAATTGTTGTACACCAAAATCCATCGTTTTTTTTTTTTTGCGTTTCACCACTCAGATCTTATCGGAATTTCGACCAATGAAACAACTTTGTTTAATTAAGCATCACCAGGAAAGAGTTTGGAACCGGTTTTATTTTTCATATATTAAAACCGGTTTTAATCGGTTTTACAAATTACCCCTAGCGCTAGGGCGCAAAATATTCATTTTTTTGATGTACACTCCCCTGACATAAGTCACCGGATTTTTTTAGTAACAATATGACGATCATTTTTTTTT